TGAAGAGAGATTGACATTCTTCGCATTCGAACTCGTTTTGTTGCTGGGTTTTGTGGAACCGAGGAAGTTGTGAGGATGGGGCTCGTTGTTTCTGAAGAAAAAGAAATGTTCTTGCGTTGTTTTTCTTTATTCCATTATTTTCCCTTGTTCACAGTGTCTCCTCGGCTCTGTTGTCTTGGACCTTCTGCCTCGAGTTGTTATTGCAAATCTTTGTTCAAAAGAAGCAACGTTGAGTTGCTATAATCAAGCAATCTTCGCGGACCTTTCTTCAAGGCGACTGTTGAATTCGATCGGTGATTGATTGTTGGGTGGAAAGTGTAAAGGGAAAAAAATTATGCTTGAAACTTGGTCTCTTCCTAGACACGATTTTCTTGCATTGAAGTGGAGTTTGGGAAATCAGCAGCCGCAGTGCTATTAACTAGATCCTTTATATCCATTGATATACTGATTATATCTTGATAATTCCTCTCTTAGATGTTTTTAGGTGTTCATGGGACGTGACGGGACCGGGACCGGCCCGGTAAGCAGGAATCAAACAAGGATTTTGTCCTGTGTCCCGTCCCGATCCTGTCGGGACCAGGACAGAACCCGAACGGGACATCTTCTCTTTTTTAAAAAAAAAAAGAAAAAAGAAAAAAATAATTTTTTATATTATTTTTTTATATTATAATGCTTATTTTTTATTGGATTTCTAAAAATAAGAACATCATAAAAAAATATTATGTAGAAAGCTCAATTATATAGTATAAAAAAGATATAAAAATAATACTGTAAAAAAAAATACAGGAAAAAAACACTATATAATGTCTTTATAAATTATTTTATTGAGGAATGAGATTTTGTTAAGATAATATTATAACTTAAGAGCTAAAAATCACTATAAAAATAATAATTATTATTAATAAGTAAATTAAATAATCTAATAATAATTATTAATAAATACTGATCCCGTCCCGTACTTGTCCTGTCCCGAAATTTTTTTTGTTTCATCCTGTCCCGTCTCGAATTCTCCGAGACCGGAACGGGACAAATTGAACACCTCTAAATGTTTCTCTGTTTTGAAATGTAATCATTGTTTGAGGCGGGATTCTGCAGTGTTTCCACTGCCTGGAAGCCCTGTAATTCTTGAAACTTGATGAATTTGAATTTGAGTAATGACATTAAAACTTCGTTCCTTTATTTTAATTGATGATGCAGTAATCTCAATATCCATCGCTTTGCTCTGTTTGACTTGCCTTTGTCACTTTGCTCTCATACGAGCATAACTTGACATGCAATGACTGAAACATCCTTTGTCTATTTGTAATCATTGGCGACAGGATTATGTACCAACTGTCTTCGACCATTACAGTGCAAATGTGTTTGTGAATGGAAGCATTGTGAATCTGGGGTTCTGGGATACAGCTGGTAATCTTCTATTAACGGTTACGTCTCATTTTTCTTGGTCGTTCTGAAGAGTCCTGCCACTGTTCCGATGTTTTAATGACATGAAACAGGCCAAGACGATTACGATTGATTAAGACCTTTAAGCTATCCTCAGACAGATGTATTTCTGGTAGCATTCTCTCTCATAAGCAAGGCAAGCTATGAAAACGTCGCCAAGAAAGTAAGATGCGTTTTTATTCTTTTATATTTGTTCTGTCCCTTTCTTTTCAGTACTAATGGGTTCTTCTCTCTTTTTCCAGTGGGTTCCTGAGCCGAGGCACTTTGCACCTGGCGTCCCAATTATTCTAGTTGGGACAAAACTTGGTTAGAGTCTTCTTCCTTCGTTATATTCACTTGCATTGCCTATGTTAATACAGGTGTTGACTGGCTAAACCTGGGTGCACTCATAATTCATAGGCATCAAGTTATGACCAAGAGGAACCATTCAATAGAGTTTCAATTTCAAGAGACACATGATGCCGTAAACCAATTTTAGGGATAGTTAACTTTCAATATAATGTTATTACTCCAACCTACCAATTTAACATGTGAGTATCAGAATATAGCTGAGAGAACAATGAAGTCAGGACCACTGAACCAAAGTTCTCAGCTGTTTTCCCCAGTCAATTAGTTCCTTACTACGAACTTATGTTTATCTTTTGATCTTAGGTGTTTTCATTGTATACTGATCTATATAGGAGCTTTTCTTTATGATGCTTAATGGAGATAGGTATTCTCATTAACCGCATAACCGTGACAAAGTTTGTGATATGGTAGGGATGGAAAGGCGAATGTTACCCAATTGTTGAAGCTTATCGTATGATTAAAAGATAAATGGTGAATAGATAGCAGCATCTTAATTCGATTTGTGTTCAGAATTTTTTATTTGAGTGACGAAAGTGCCCTGGTAAATCTTCATCTTAATTCCCTTTCTACTTTTCTGTACAGAGTCTTCAGAAGTCTTGACGTTTGTAGTGTCTCAGATGATTAAGATGGAACGAAGTGTAGCTGCCTATTACACAACTCAGTGCATTGGTGTAGGATAATGTTTTGCAAATAATCTTGAATTCATGAATTATTTGAATTTCCACTTCAAGTATCATATAACAAAAGTGTTGTTTACAGCGCCAAAATTTTTGTCAATAGTTTTCAGATAGCATCTTTAGGAATATGTTTCCTCCTAAATATATGGCTAAAAGCATGTAGTTGATGGATTCATTTTTAGACAATTCTTGGCTAGTTTGCTTTGATGAATCATGGCAGCTGAATCTGTCTTTCAGATCTTCGGGATGATGAGAAGTTCCTTCTAGACCACCCTGGTGCAGTGCCCATCACCACGGCTCAGGTGTATGTTACTGCTTTTATGTGTTCTGTTTGTCTATTAGCCTTTGTTTGTTAGTTAAAAGTCGGAACTTAAACTTACTGATGAATGCTCTTATTCTCTATCTTTTTTGAAGGGGGAGGAACTAAGAAAACTTATTGGCGCTCCTGTTTATGTTGAGTGTAGTTCAAAAACTCAGATGGTAAATAAATGTTATTTGCATCTTTAAAGTTAATGGAGTAAAAGCATGCTATAACATGATTGATGCCAATCCTTGTGTGAATACAGAATGTGGAAGCAGTTTTTGATGCAGCCATCCAAGTTGTTCTCCAGCCCCCGAAGCAGAAGAAAGAGGAAAGAAAGGGGCAAAAGGCCTGTTTTATTTTGTGAGATCTTCCCTTGTTTTTACATGCTAGTTATTGGAGGATGACATGACCCTAGCCATTTACCAGTAGTCTTCACTCTTCACTATGCTATTTATATGCTGTTTCCACCCTATAGGAAGCAATTGCTCCATGGCTCCAACACTGACTGTATTTGTGACTCATGAGCATCCAAGTTAGTTGTTTGTGTGTGTATCTGTATGGGCATGATGTCGAGACGTTTGGAACCCTTCACGTACAAGCTTGCTGCTTCCCTGACGTTTTCTATTGAGGCTATTTCGTTTGTGGGCATGACTTTATTCATGTTGTAATCTAATATGCTATAACGTTCCTTTGGATGTGAACTATGTAATATGTAATTATGGTTATGAGCTGTTTAGCAGAGTGATTGCAGTTCATTCTCTTTAGTGTTAATTCTGTAAAATGTATCTGCAGCGGTCTAACCAAAAGCTTAGCTTGAATTATCTAATATAAAAAATTCTCAGATGACGAAAAGCTGAGAAAACTTGCAACTTGAGGCAAGTTAAATGACAAGCGAGTTGAATAAAACCTGTACTTGAAACAAGAAATCTGAACTCACAAGAATATACCCTTCCGTTACCTAATTATTGAGTTGATATTGGTTATAAATATAATATCTATTTTTTATATGTATTAATTTTTTTAAATTATCCTTGTTGATTGAGTAGGAGATGAGAGGAGGATATCAAAGAAGATGATTATGATGTTTTAGAACAAAAAAATATATTTTTTTTATAATTAACTGATTTATCTAATTTTTTTAATTAAATTAAATTAGTTAAATATATCTTATAGTAAGAATAGAAAGAGTGTAATGGAGAGTTATTAGCAACTTTACATACTTGGACAGGGGAGTGTACATCGCCCTTGACATTTTTCAGAGGGAATGGCACACGATGTTTCTCCAACTTTATCAGATTCTCAGCGTTGTCTGTTTTTCGAGTCGGTGATATTTGAAAGATTCTTAAATAAACTTGATTTTAAAAGAAGGGTCTAGTGAAAAAAAAGTGCTCTCAATACATTCTTATGATTAGCTCGGCCTTATTACTCACGGGTTGGCTGATGCTATCAGGCTGCTTGGGATTTCTTTCACCCCCACCAATTGTCTTCTCCTCGTGATCTTTGTAGTAGAACTTTGCTCAAAAAGACAGAGAGATACACGTGTTGAACTAATTTTACTTGAGATTAAGGATGACTTTCTCCGACAATGATTTATTCTTTCTCAGTAAGCTTGAACTTCGGATATTGCAAATATCTTGAAATCTTTGTGTTCAAACTTGCATAACTTGAGCTGCTACTTTTGCATATACATATAAAGCTTTGATTGGGCAAAGAAGCAGGAAGGTGCGCCTTGTAGTATCTCACTAGGATGCTGGAAAGAAACTCATGCCTTTACAGTTGTATTTTTGGCAACTGGCATGTGGTAATATGGTCCCATCCCACGGAGTAATTGGATTTTACTATTTTACGTAAATTATTTGAGTGCTACGCCAATCCCTCATAAAAATTTACTTCTCAACTTTATTGATTTAATATTAAAAAAAATATCTGAGTAGAATACTTAATGGTATTCTCAGCATCATTGATGTGATACGGGATTCTGTAACTACTTGCTGATCTTAATTTAATTATGGTCAATTAAAACTGGGGACAGAAAAGGCTTTGGAAAACTTGAAAAACAGTGTGAAATGGCAAACATCTTTCAAATTCCCACATAATTTGTGAAAGGCGATAGATTCTTGATATCTTATTTTGCTCCATTTGTTGAGGAATATATACTGTGCCCACTTTCACGAGTCAACAGTGGACAAATGGAACTCATGAAATCGCTCAACATCTCCCTGGAAACCACCCGCCCATTCCCTCCATTAAATATGCAGTGCCTGTTTTCTAGCTTACCATAATTCTCATTTGGTTTGCATTCCTCTTCCTCGCCCCACGTTAATGGCGTCCAAGAGAATTCTGAAGGAGCTCAAAGACTTGCAGAGAGACCCCCCAACGTCATGCAGTGCAGGTAGAGCACACGTGAAAACAACTTTAACTGGTTCTTCTTTTTCCTTTGATTTCCCCTGAATGTGTTGTGATATGGCTATTATGGTGACAAACAGGTCCTGTTGGAGAGGATATGTTCCATTGGCAAGCAACCATCATTGGTCCTAATGACAGTCCCTATGCTGGCGGTGTTTTCCTTGTTACCATCCATTTTCCTCCTGATTACCCTTTCAAGCCTCCCAAGGTATGCACCACAAGCTATTCTCTTGGGAAAAATAATAGTTTAAGACTCGACTTATATCAATGATAGATAAGAACTTTACAAATCAAAGCTCTTTTCAAGAATTAAATCATCCATAATACTTCCTAAAGGTGCCGCTCATATTTCTTAAACATACAAATTTATTTATTTGTTTATTTCTATGTTACGATGAATAAAATTATCTTGTAACAGTTGGCAGATCTGTTAATAACTCTAGAAATTCTTGGTAACTTTAAGAAATATAAAAATGACATAGTTTTATGATATTTGAAAGCTATTTTGAAGTCTTTACATAAGTTCCTGATAATTTTTCCTTTATTTTTACCCACATATTCATTCTCTTGTTACTTGCCATACATACTCAAGTTTGTCTTCTGATAAGTAGATTTTGAAAACATACTTGGCTATCATATCTACAACAGTCGCATATGATACAGTTTCAGTCTTGAAATATTGATGCTTCATAATTTGTCTTAAACTTTCGAATTTCTTCCCAATGTTTATAGCAGACAGCTGATGTTAAAAGAGCTGTTGGCAGGTTGCATTCAGGACGAAGGTGTTCCATCCCAATATAAACAGCAATGGAAATATCTGTCTGGACATTCTCAAAGAACAATGGAGCCCTGCCCTCACCATATCCAAGGTTAAGTTTTGCAGCTCTTAAAGGATCCATTATATTCCCTATATCAGAAGCGACTTCAATTTTTCTCCTTAAGAAAAATTGTCTAACATCCTTGTCCCTTGTATATTTATGACAGGTTTTGCTGTCAATTTGTTCCCTGCTAACGGATCCGAACCCAGATGACCCGCTTGTTCCAGAAATTGCTCATATGTGCAAATCTGACAAACAGAAGTATGAGTCGACTGCTAGAGGGTGGACCCAGAAGTATGCCATGGGCTGATCAGACTCTCCTAATAATTGCCTCTCTTTCCCGCCACTCCAAATCAATCCCCTTTATACTAAAGTGGCCTTGACCTGAGCCATTACCATACATGTACACCCTCCTATGACTATGAGAATTGTTCTAAAGGCTTTACCTTTGTAATTGTATCGAGTTTTCTATCTAAGAATAAATAAACATGCTCGGATCTTCTTCATCTTACAAAACAGCCTGCCTAAACTTGTTTCTATGGACCCACCAGTCTCTCATTTTCTGTGATGCCATGCAGAAGTACATCCCCCCTAATCCCTGCTTCATATTATTGATATCTTGCGTTAGATTTTGCATTTGATCCAAAACCTTCCGTTGATCTTTTTTGGGCAAGAACAACGCGCTAATACCTCCTATCTTGAATTCCCGTTCATGCTGTGATAAATATATCTTTACTCCCTAAATTCCAGCATGCTTGATAGCTTCTTCTTGTTGTTACAATCCTTGTGTCTCTTGAACTCATTCTGTAGCATCAGTTCTGAAATACACCGACATGAATACTAATTCTTTTTCTTGCTCCTTTCTATAAATCCCAAAACAATTTGCCACTCTTCTTTCCTTGATGTTCGTCCCGTGATGCGTTTCTTCTTGATATCTCTTAAAATTACTCGGTATTTTGTATTCCAATTGAAGGTTAAATATTTGACACTGGGTAGTCTTGAAAATGAACTCTTTCGCAATGATCTAGTATAATTATGATCGCGTTTGTACTGAACTCAAGTTGATATGTTTGGAAGAGTACAATTTCAAGAGTTGAAAATATCACTACTCGCTAATAAACAATGCAACTTTCCCGAACGGATCAAAACGACACGTCAGTTCCTTGCTACTATTGATTATTTCTATCAGCAACAAGTCAAGAACCATAGCAAGTCATCGTTCTGCTTTTCCAAAACCATTTTAGTTTGTTTAATTAGACACCTAACAGATCAAGGTGGCTACATTTCTTCATTATATAAAGTTCCCATAGGAGCTAAAGGCAGCAATAATTGAAGATATTAAACAGATCATATTATTTGAATTCCCATTAATCCTTTAATATAATTGCAACGATGGGCACACAAAAAAAAAAAGTAATGAAATTGAAGTGATTCCATCTGAGGCAAATCAAGCCAAGCCTCACAGAGTGTTATGGTGAGTGCAAGTTGGAGGATTTTTTGTGGTTGGCGATATTGCAGAAACAATAGGGCATGTCCAAATCTAATATTCTCTAAGCAAAATAACTCCTGTACTTGATTCCAAAGATGCAGTTGAGTGGGCCATATCACCCCCCTCACTTCAAATGCGTAAATTCATAGTTTACATCAACCTTGACGATTGACGAAACCGAAAGCATCCATAGGACTGCATATTAAGGAAAATGATCGAGATACACACATAGTAAAATTGTTTCAATTTCGCATATATATAATTAGAAGTAGTAGTCCAGCCAAGGAATATTTTATGAGAACTACATGCTGCGTGTGGAAAACCAGTATTTGACATATCATCTCATCCACAGGAACTGTACTATGAACAATTTTAACGAGCTTATATATATATAAGCAAAATTTTTCAACATTTTTGATAAAATAGTCAATTATATTATATGAAACAAGATAATCAAGTACATAAAGACAGACACACAATAACTATCGTATACCAGACACCGGCTTGTAGTTTCATATGACAAAATAGAGAGACCTTTGAGACAACTGCTACAATCATCCAAACAAAAGATCAGATAAAAACCAACAATTTTGGGAATAAAAGGTACACTAGCCAGCTTCTCCTGGCATGAGTAAAACCCATGGCTACAAATCAAAAGAAAGAGATATACGCCAAACAATAACTAAAAAAAATAGAGCACTACAACTATAGATAAAGCGCTCCGAAAATCTATATTATCTTGTAGGTTGAATTTTTGGATAAAATACCTGAGGAGTGAAGGAAATGAAAAGTGAAATCAGAGAATCAAATTTGAAGATTAGAAGACAATATAAGAAGGACAGTTTGGTATAGATCGTTCCACTGAGCATATGGTTGATGATGCATCTTTTCAAAATTTGGACCATTCCTTTTTTCTATATTAAAATAGTAGCATATTTTGTAATGGGTTTTACTTTAAAATTCCGATTCTCAAAGTTTTTGTCCAATGATGTCAGCTGATGGCTTTGGACAAGTTTTTCCAAATTTCATTGTCAACGTCGCATACATATATAGTTGTTGGTTCTGACGCACCGTCCTAACTAACATCCTGGTAAAACATTCCCTGCCACATTACACCTATAATTATTATCAACCATTTCAATTTAAATCTTCCTTTCTTAATTATCATCACTAATCACTTTGTGTCATATAATAGTAGTATAATAATAAATCACTTGAACATGGTCAACAGGGGAACTTTGGATTAATTAATTTAATATATTGATTTGACCCAAAAATATGAGCAGGGAATTACCTTTGTTTATGAAAGGAGTGTGAAAGTGAAACAGCAATTACAGCAAACAAAGGCAGTTTCTGTTGGACCTAACAAGAGATAAGGTAGAAAGAAAGAGGAACTGTACGGGGGACAAGGTCGCACAAATTGAAGAAGAAAGGCAGAACTTTAGACTTTGAATTTGTAGGACCCACATGTGCATCAGATTTTTAACGTTTTTAATCCAACTTTGAATGGATTTCCATTTCGTCAAGTAACAAAATAGATATCAGAAAAAATTCCAGTGCATTCATCTCATCTTCTGACGAGCAAAGCAACCATTATGACACCGCTTCTTCTTTTAAATATGGTTTTGGCCTTTTTAGATTTGTGGCTCCTAAAAGACCTTTTGGGGGTGGCTACAAGTCATCATCTTTAACTCTAACTACCATCACCTTAATTGGATAATAACTCCCAAACATTTATATGTCATCACACCTTTTGCGTAAGATAAGATCACATTCTTCATTTAGTGACACATATTCTCTCGCATATCATAGTTCTTTCCTCGTCTTCTTCCTCCTCCTTTCCTCTCACTATTGTAGTTCTTTCTTCTCCTTTGAGAAAACAAAAATAAAATGGAAAATTTATATTCTTTTTTGGAATAAAAACGAATCATGAATGGCATCATCATGATCATCAGGGTTGTCACGAAGCATGGACACGATGATTGATTCATATGAGATTAATTAGTGGGTAAAGTATTTTTATTTCAATTATTGTGATTTGTTATGGAATGTTTACAATTATGCATCTCACATATAGTATATTATTATGGCAGGAAACTGCCAACTTAACCTAAAGCCGTTAACTAGTCCTTATCTTTTGCGCCAAGCCAATCATATCTGCATAAAAATTCGGATGAATCTTTTGTATTCTTCCGGTTATAAATATAAGACTATTTTATAATCTTATATTTAGGATCGAAAGAATATATTTAGAAGAAAAGGACAGCAAGTTTGATTGTCTTTAAATTTGTTTTCATCTTCTTCTTTTTTACTTTTCTTTTAAACGTGCCATGGATTAATATAATTTTTTTATTAAACTGTGTTATTGTTCGATGGATGTAGGCATAAAACGAAATTGTTATGGGTAGAGAATCTGAATTGTCTCTGTCTCTTCCAAACTTGTGTCACTCTTTTGGAAAAAAAAATTAAAAATGAAGTGAAACTTTTTTATTTGTACGTAGCGGAGGAGAAGCTGGGTGGTGGAAGCAGTGAAGCAGGCCGTATGGGTACACATAATAGCCGGTAACAAGTAATCCGACCGGATATGACGGGTTTCGCGCGAAAACTTCTGGTTTTTATTGGAGGACAAAAATACTACTAACAATCTCCCTCTTTTTCTGAGCATCATAAAATTTTGCGCCCTCACTTTCCCCTCAGATTTCTCTCCCTTGCCGACACTTGCTTCTTCCCTCATAATCACCATCTTCATCTTTGTTTGGTTTTTTTTTCCTTCTTCTAGTTTTGAAAACAAGAAAAGAAGATAGGTGTTTCCTTTCACTCAGTATCATCGTCCAAAGAAGCAAGAACGCCACTCTTTTCTTATTTCTTAAAATATATTTGCTCTGTGAGCTTCCGAAATTTAGTTGCAGTAGGTGAGCTGATGCTATTTGGCGGTAATTTCGTTTAAAAATCATGTTAGGCTCAAACCATAGCTGCCTTCAAGATTTAGGTGTATTTTCTTTGTCTCGTCTTGTTTGTCATTCTGTATCTTTCCATTTTTTAATGCCTGCTTCTTCTTTTAAGAAAAGTTTAAAAATTTCATATCTCACGTGTTGTGGTGGGTTTTCTCCTTCCGTTTTGTGTTTCTTAACGGCTGTTATCCTGTAATTTTTTTTAATGGTAATCTGTTCTGGGTGCTATTTATAATCAGAAAATAGTATTCTAAAAGTGTGCATAGTAATGGAAGCCTTAGTTTAAACCATGGTTGCCCTGTTTTCCAGAGAATGAGATGATTCGTTCGGAAACGGAGAAGATTATCTTTGCTGGAGTTCGGCGAATTCACAGAGGAATAGAATTCATAGCTATTTTGGGATTTGAAAGGTGATTTGATCCAGAAGAGCAAAGCACAACAATGACCGTGGAGAGGGGAACTGTGTTGGTGGGGATAAGAATCGACAGCCAAAGCAGGCAGCTTCTAAACTGGGCTCTTGTCAAAGTTGCTCAACCTGGAGACTGCGTTGTTGCAGTTCATGTGGTCAAGTGTCCAGGTAATCCTTAACCAAAGGGAAAAAAAGTTCAGGGGATCATGTCCTAAACTTTCATGAAACGAAGTCATGTTCTGTTCGAAGTACAGAGTAACTTTATATATTTTGTTTCTTAGTTGAAACAGAGTGTTTTTCTCCTTCTTATTGTTGTCACTTTCATTTATACAGGTCAAGTTTCAAAAAATAAGCCCCTGCTGGACAATTATTTGGAGGTTTATGATGGCCTATGTGATGTGAAAAAAGTAAGTACAATGCAGCGCCCAACTGTTGTGTGAGCAAATTTTCAACTTGGTCATGAATTGTATAGCTCATTTAGTTTTTCAGAGATTAAAAGTTATCATGTGAATGGATTAGTTTAATAAAGCAACTCGTCAGATGTGAGTTCTTTTCTTAAGTGATCTAAAAAGGATCTCTGGAGAGCTAATGCGAGTTTGCTAGTTTTTTACACGTATTCATGGGAAGTTGACTGATATTTGCATATTGCAACTTGGCCTAACTGGGGTTCAGGTAAGTCTCATAGGTCAAATCTTCGGAGGGAGATCCGTTCGAAACATTCTTGTGAGAGAGTCAAAGAATAATTCTGCTCTGGCTCTAGTGGTTGGGTAAGGAATTTTATTTTCCAAAATTTTGAACTGGATTTTGTTCATCTGATTTTTTTTTCCCCTTAAAAAAAATTCGGACCAGTCTAAATCATATTTCACTTTCAGTGGTGGTGCTGCCACAGCAAAACATTGTGCCAAACGACTCCCACCCACCACAGATGTTGTAGCCATCCATGATGGAAGAATTGTCTTCAGAAGGTGTACCAATCTTAAACTACCAGGTTCGGTATTTTTAATGTTCTGGTCCTCAAAGAAGACCAGCTCTTACCTGACCAAAGACCACGACTGACTTGTTTCCCACGATGATAGGTCTTATACAAGATCCGAGGCCTAGCCTCACAAGCATGGATGACAAAGAATTCCTGTCTGAATATGGAGACTCCGAGGTTGCCACTGTGAAATCATTATTTTATGAAGAGACGAGAGAAGATGTGCCAGAATTCAAAGAAGTATTTGGCGGTGTTAAAGGGAGCAAGAAAGGGTATTCAAGAGCAATCTCTCTGTTTGTAGGTGACCCCTGTGAGCAGAAACTAGGATGGCCCTTGCTCCGAAGAGTTAATTCAGAAATATCAGAGACTCCTCTTTCGAGGAACTTGTCTGTAGTACAGTGGGTAATGAACTTACCAGATCGTTCGCCAAAGAAAAGTTCTTGCTTTTCATCCACGGAAGAAAGTCTCTCAGAAAGAGGCATCAGTGATGTTGAGGATGACAGACAGAAAAACAGTTCCCGTTCTTTATCTTTTGAGCTGCCAAAGGACTTGGAGGCGATTTTGGACGTGAATTCATTTGATTGCAAGTGGTTTAACATTGAGGATCTCAAGTCCTGGACTTCTCAATTCTCTTCAGGTCCAAAAATTTAATAGACCAAGCTAATTATGGTTAGAAATAGAAACATGTTAGATATTGAACTGGCATGGCCCTAACTTTGCCCATCCCTCTTTATAATTGATTGGCTTTGACTTTTAATTTAAAAAAAAAAAAAAAAGAATTAAAAAACTGAATCTGCATTAGGATTTCTGAGCTGTTTTCCATGTTCTTCTGTGTTTTAGACCTGAACTTGAATTTCCATTGCAGGAAATCTGATTGGCAAAGGAGGGAGTAACCGTGTGTACAAAGGGATTCTCCCTGATGGAAAACCAATTGCAGTGAAAGTTTTACAATCATCAAAAGAAGCTTGTAGAGATTTTGCACAGGAAGTGGAAATAATATCCTCTTTGAAGCACAAATACATAACCCCTTTGCTTGGAATTTGCGTTGCAGAAAATGCTTTAATCTCTGTCTATGAATTTTTCCCCAAAGGAAGCTTAGAGGAAAATTTACACGGTAAAGATTATGAACAGTTTTTTTTCCCCTATTCATTTTCACTTTTCGGATAACCTGATGCTAAATTGAAATTATAATGCATGTAGGTGAGAACAAGGATGGATCCATATTGTCATGGCAAGAGAGATTTAATATGGCTGTTGGCATAGCAGAAGCCCTAAATTACCTTCACAACGAAACTTCGAAGCCTGTTATCCACAGGGATGTCAAGTCTTCAAATATTCTTTTGTCCCATGAGCTTGAACCACAAGTACGTATGTAAATATTACTTTAAACTCCGTTAAAAGAAACATGTATGTTTGAAAATTTATGACATCACTTTAAACTCCCCTCTTTGAAATTGTGGCAGTTGACTGATTTTGGGCTTGCAATTTGGGGACCACAAGTTCATATTTTCTGACACAAGGAAGATGTAGTAGGAACATTCGGATATCTTGCTCCTGAATACTCATGTATGGAAAAGTAAGTGACAGGACAAGATAGATGTGTATGCCTTCGGTTGTAGTTCTTCTTGAACTAATTTCAGGAAAGAAACCAATCAGTTCCGAGATTTGCAAAGGACAACGAAGTTTGGTCGCGTGGGTAAGAAACTAATCCTACCTAGATAACTCTGACTTTGTTACAATACATAGATGAGTAGATGAACTATTTTATATATGTAATGATTTCAGGCAAAACCAATAATAGAGAGTGGGAAACATTAAAGCTTATGGACTCCATTTAGGGGGAAATTGACGAGGTCCAAATGCAGAGAATGGTAAGGCAGCAAATCTATGCATACAAGGGGCTTGAGGCTTCGTCCCAAGATGAACCAGGTAACAGCTTAAGATGTTAAGGTTCTTTGTTCGTCTTCATGGAGGCAATAAGCATGTTCAAACTTCAAACTCTACTTATGTTTGATGAATCTGAATTCAAGATATCATGAACCTGATACCATAATGATCTAAGTTAAGTAAGCTTTAGCTCATAACGTTAAGTATGTGCAGATACTGAAGATCCTTGAAGGAGAAGAAAGAGATGAGAATTTTCTGAGCTCCCAAGGGTTTGATAGTGAGCATACAGAAAACCAGGAGAATATAGACGACGAAGTGTATCCAAATTCAAGTGCAGAGTTACACCTTAGTCTTGCATTGCTTGATGTTGATGATGATTCTACTTCAAATAGCAGCAGTACAGAGCGGAGTAACAGTCTTTCTTTGGAAGAACACTTGAAAGAAGATGGAGCAGATCATCCAGTTTTGATTAGAAGTTTTTCTTTTCAGGAAAAATAAATCTATGATATCTTCGTTTATACGTAACATATAATACTTGAGTACATAGAGCACCCAACAATGAGGTGGTTGGTCGATGAAAAGGATTGTGGAGTTGCGTTTCCTGTGTATATATATGAAAAATAAGTAGACAAGGACTTGAGAATAATACACAGATTTTGAGCTACGGCGGCTCAGATACTTAACCTTTATTTTTCTTGTCGCAGCAAGACTCTTATCCTTTACTAAGGTGAGAATGAAAGGTCAAAAGCAAGAATGCTCTGTTTCTCTTGTGAGGTGAGTGACTTAGATGTGAGTTTATTCAAATGTGAGTTTATTCAAAACTTTTGAAATTAAAAATTAAACAAACACATATCCAGGGGAATTTTGTTACTTTTATTAGTAACTGAATTATTTTAATGATGCACGGGATAAATAATTTGAAATTTTTTTATGGTTGTAATAATCTTTCTAATATTTAAAGAGGTTTAAAGATCCAAAAATCACGAAATTTAATGAATATAGGGAAAGATTAAAAGAACAGAAAAATTATGAAATTCTTGGGAAATTATATTATTCATGGTTTATACAAAGTAAAAATTTTGAGAAACTTTATATTTTATATTAATAGAAGAAGCTCAAAATAAGTCATATCTTCATGAGTATTATTTTATTGAACAGCATTCAAAATATTTTGGTTTTACAACTATAATTCTATATTTCATATTGAATTAGAGTAATGTTTTCATAACTAAATACGGGTCAACGCTTCTAATGGAATATACTCGTATTTTTTTTGTTTTACAAGAATAATGAGGTGTTCCGGAGATTTTATACATTAATATACCATAGACACACACAGATGGATGAAAAAAACCTATTTTATTCCATAGTGAACAAAAATGGAGGGTTCAGGTTAAAAAACCAAAAAAAATGTAGCGGGGGGAATGTGGAGGAATGTTACAGAGTTACGTTATTTTAATTCGATCAGGTTTGATTTGCATCATTATTATTACATCCAGTACTTAATAAGATCTTACTTGATTTTTATTTTGATCTTAAATATAATATCTCAATTCATTTTGTTTATCATATTTATATTTTTTTTTTTCAAGTTAGTTCTTCTAACAATAGTAATTCTAACTAATAAATTTTATTAGTAAAAATATTTTTTGAAAAGATAACATCTATTTATTACAAATAATTAATTTAATTTTTTTATTAATCTTCTCAAATTAAACAACTAACTGTTAATAATTAGAATCGAGATAGTATAATACAGTAACGATATTGAAAAATGCGCAGCTATGATTACGATCTAAGAATCTTTCATTAGGCATGCGGACCCACAATGTGCAGATTTTCATGATGCCACGGAGCTCCTGCATTTTTATAGCAGAGGCCAAAAACAATTATAAGGCCCGGAAAAAGTTTTAAATTTTGGTAGATCAAGCTCTGTGAATTCTTGTTGTCAAAAAGCAAGTTCTGTCAATTCTGATAATGAATACGGCCCAAAAAAATGTCGATTTTGAATAGTTATAAATCAAAAAATTGTGAGCGGTCGACAATTGCAGTTCGAAGTCTGACCCTGAGAGAGACAGACCCGAAACAAACAGAAATCTGTGGAATCTCTCGAGTCTGAACCAATCCATTGGCTCTGGTGCTTCGAGTTTGCTCTATTTTCTGCAGAATGTGGCCATTTTCTTCTTAGGGTTTCGCTTGCCGCTCTCCGTCGCGCCATCACTAACTTCTCATCTTAAGGTTTGCTGAGATGTAGTTGTCTCTTGATTTACCTTTCATTCCTCGCTCTTGTTTTGAACCTCAATCTCTCTAATTTAGTTTTTATTTCTTTTCTTTTTCGATCGATTCTGTTACCATCTGAACTTTTAACCTGAAATTCCAGCAGAGCCTGCTCGCTTTGCACTCACTAGTTTTTTAACCTGAATGAACAATATAAAATAAAAAGCTTTATGGCTCTATTGTCGGCTAATTTAGTTTTATGCGTGCCTGTCTGTTCTTGAATTCGAGGAAGCGTATATGCATATATTCAATACGCTGCAGTTCTCTATATTGTCTGATTTAGTCGTTTGCGTGCCTTTCCTGAAAGAAACTCCCACCTGGATTGATAAAATTCTTTAAGCCCATCACGTTGAAGCTCGTCTCTTAGATTTTCATGGATTTTGCAGTTTGCTTGGTGCTCAAGTTTTTAAAAAGACTATAAATTTCATTCTTTTGCTATTCTTATTTGTTTGGATGTCTTCATTCGTATACTGTTGACTTCATATAGAAGGAATTGAATACCAGCTTCTGATATTTGTAGAAACCAAAATAATAAATCTCATTTTTCTGACTAGGTCCCCATCTTTACACATATTTGGGAATTCGTCATGGATGACGGTGAGCTTGATTTCCCAAATCAAGGAACATTCTCCGGTCCAAACATGGAAGAACTTCAGAGTACTGGCTCAATGGATAGTTTCTTTGAAGAGCTTTTAAAGGACGCACATGCTTGCACGCACACTCACACTTGCAACCCTCCTGGCCCTGATAATTCACATACCCACACTTGTTATCATGTGCATACCAAAATTGTTCCCGCACCTTCTGAAGAAAAGGCTGGCACTGATGATAGTGCTGGTACAGATTCTGCAGAAAAGAAGCCAAAAAAACGTTCTTCAGGTAATCGTGAAGCAGTTCGCAAGTATCGTGAGAAGAAGAAAGCCCGAGCTGCATCTTTGGAGGATGAGGTTGTAAAATTGAGAGCTTTGAATCAACATTTGTTGAAGAGGTTGCAAAATCAGTCTGCTTTAGAGGCTGAAATTGCAAGACTAAAGTGCTTGCTAGTAGACATTCGAGGAAGGATTGATGGGGAGATTGGATCATTTCCATATCAGAAATCAACTAATTTGAACCCGCCAACTGCACACTCGTCTGGTTCCTATTTGATGAATCCTTGTAATGTGCAATGTGGTGATCAGGTGCATTGTCTTCATCCAGGAGCAGATGGCAAGAATACAGAATATTTATCAACTGACGGGCAAGGATTGAATGGTTGTGAATTTGAAAGCATCCGCTGCCCAGCAAACCAGAATTTGGGTCTCAATGATCTTTCTGGCTGTGGAGTTGGACAGGAGGTGTCCAATATCAAGTCTTCTAAAGCAAATAAAAAAAAGGTGAATCCTCATTCCCCTATCTCTCTGATTCTAGCATGGATTATTAATTTCATACCAATTTATGTATAAGCTTGATGCCATTCAAGTTGCCAGTGAATGGTATAATCTGCCTAGCATGTTTGATCTTTGTTTGTGATCCTATGCTTTCTGTTTATCTTGTTGTATTTTTTCTTTTTCTGGATAAAATCTTGGCCATCTCAATGTTATGTCTGGATGTAATGCTGAAGGTTAATTGTTAGATCTTCAGATCAATGACCTTTAACTTCCACTAGGATGCCTGTTTTATTTTTTTTGCCAAAAGAGGATCCCTGGTTTTGGAAGGGTTGTTGACCATAATTTTAAGTTCATAACTTCATCTAAGAAAGCATGGTGCTTGATTGCTTGTAAATGTTGCAATATAATGACTTAGACTTACCTGAGTAGTAAACATGTCAAGGATGCATGGCTCCTAACCTGCTAAGGAGATCATTTGACCCATGAGAAGGCGAGGGAGATGTACACTTGAACATTTTATTGTGATCATTTTACTTTTATGATTTTCGAAAATTTTGT